GATGTTTATAATGTTATTGTTTTTCATAAGTTATTTTCATGAATCTCACCGAGATAAGTGGACAGTAAACGGTTTTATTATTGATAAATGAATTTGTTATAAATTATGCTCAATTAGTCGTTTTTGTTTTCTACCAACCTTTACTATTGTGACAGTGAGATAGTGTGACATCTTTACTGGGCTAGTGTAGCTCATTCCTTACTTAACCATTTCAGATCAGGATGACTTGGTTCCCGAGCCCGTTCCGCAGGAAGACGGCGAGTAGAAGCCTAAGAATTTATTAGTTTTCCTTATAGTATTCATTAATAATATTTTTTTTAGTTAGTTTATTATTTAATATCTTTAATACGTTTTGATTATTGTGTAAGGGATGTTAATCATAATTTATTTTATTTCGCTTCCGCACTTAAAATAAATATATACATTTCTTTTTAATTTTCGGGGACGTTACAATAATTATTTAAACACTCCAATTAAAGACTGCTAATTACATGTTTTATTTAAATGCATTCAAAATAACACAATAAACAGATTATATTAACTTAATTTTTCTGAAGATAGTATCCAAAATAATTTCGTCTAATTCAAAATTTATGTTTTTTCTTCAATATAATTTAATCAAAATTTACGTGAGTAATTAAGCGATTTATTAATTATAAAATTAATATAAAGATAAAATCATTTAAAAAAGAAGTCAAACCACTAATCCCAATAATTAACATAAAAGTATTTAGGACATAATATAATAACGCCATAAATGGAAATGGCATGCCTCGGGTTTGGTCTGTTCGCATGGACTTTTTGTGAAAAGCGAGGTTAAGGACTTTTTCGTCATTTCAATAATAAATTGACGGCTACTGATTTCGCAGGAGTTTTTTTAGATTTTGGAGCGTGGTTTATGTTGTGATTCTTTTACGTGTTAGACTGACTTGGCATTCATTCAAGCAATACTAGGTTTGATTCTGGTCGTACACGTGGCACTGATGAAGATATTTCTTCGGTTCGATGTGCATCTGTGACGGCGTTACCAAATAAATATGTTATTCTAACACTGTGGATCCTCATCTCATCGTAGATACGGATGACGTTACCAAATAAAGATATATACAACTTGCCTCAGTTTCGTTTCCTGAAAGTGAAAAACACGCTCTCCAATAAATGTATTAGAGTTGGAGGGAACTGTATGTATGTGCAACGCACGCAGCGATGCGGTTTGACTAAATAAAATCAAACACAAGACATCCATTGTTCATGCGCACGCGAGTGGACCCACATTCACAAATTAAGGAACATAAAAATATGAGATTGGGTCTTGGGTTCTTACGCCTCCTGTCCAAATAATATCGCATGCTTCTTACATTTCAACGTTCTCCGTATGCCCTCCATCGGACCGTCATTGGCCGTCTATCCGTACTTTCGAAGAAAGATCAGGACCGTCGAAATTGGTATTAGGAATTGATTGATCTTCGTCTCTGTTGAAGGGAATGCAGAAATCGGATTGAAATGATTAATTAGTTCATGTAATTTAATTCAATTGGTGGGTTTATTTGATTTTTAATAAGAAAATCGTAATTTTTTGTTCATGTAATTTTCTAACCAACTCGATCCATTTAATTAAACTAATTTTTTGTTTGTTTGTAATAATGTATATAAATTTGTTTACAATAAATTTGTGTTTTATTTTTGTCATAGCAGGCAAGGAAGAAAAGCTACACCGTTATGATTAGAACTAATAAGCCCACATGAGCTATAGTCTTGGGCTCAACCAATTACAAGAGCGAGTTTGGGGCCTGCTTAATACGACGTCGTACAATTCTAAATAGAATCAATCCAAGGCCTTGGAATGAAATACATACGTATATAATATTAATATTATGATCTCTGTTTTATTTTTTTCTCAATTTTTCTACGAGTGACTTTTAGTATTAGAAATATAATATAAATAATTGATTTTAATAGGCAAAAAATAGCTCCAAAACAAAAATGAAAATCAATAAAAATAATTTAAAATTAAGTTCCAACTTTAAAAAAATAAATAAATAATTTCTCTTAAAAAAAAAGTTAAGAGGGATCCGCGATCACAACTTTAAATAAAGCCAAAAGGCCCAATTGTGGTTCTCGCCAACTTTCCTTTTTAACCATCACTCAACGGTTACCCATTGAACACTGACGTAGATCAGCAGTCAGCATCATCAAATTTGGGCCCACCATCTGATCTATTAATAACTGCAAAAGGCTTCCTGAGACACGTGTCAGGCCCAGAAGCCTCTACTACACCCCTTCATCAGTTATCACGTGGTGACGAGCTTCGTGAACAAAAACTTGGTCACTTCTGAAGCACACCGTCTAATCGCGCTCCATCTCTCATAAATTCTTATGCCAGATGGCAGCTAGTAATTGGTTTAAACTCAGAAGTAACTTCTCTCTGACGTGTGTCGGATAATTGACTCTCAACCCTCACCCACCCCTCCATCCCCCGCATAAAATGTACACGTAGGATTTTCCTTAACTATCTGGTTCATTCTCGTTAACCTGTCCGTATGCGGTACAGGATAGCTAGTGGCTGAAGAACCAGGATAGCGTAGCGTGGGTTTTGCTAACGTGAGCATCTTATTTTCTTCAATCTCTTCTCTCTTTTAATTTTTTTTTTTTTGCTTTCCCTCCAATCCCTTGCTCCATCTTCAAGCTCTCTCTTTCTCTCCACAGAGACTGTTGCCCGATGATTGTCTTTCAAGAATAATTAATGAGCTTCCCAGTTAATTGGGAACTAGCGATTCTGGATTTGAAGATGGGAAGATTGAAACTGGTGGATTAGGCATGGAATGTGCTCTCAAGAGTTGAGCCATGGGGCTCTCTGAGGCTATTCGCCTCAACCTTGCATCTTCTTTCCCTCATTATTGCTACAAGGTTCTTCACTATTTCTCTTTCTGTTCGTATATATGTGTGGGTATGTTTCGATATATACTTGTGATGTGTGCATAACAAGTCTACGTTTGATGAATAAAGGAAAACTTAACTATTTTTTGATTTCCGTGTTTCTGGTTCATGTATTAAAGTGCGTTTTAATTGGATATAATTTAGAATCACCATGAACAAGTAGGATTTTTCTTCTATATCTTTTTTCTCTTCTTTTTGAGCATTGATTAATGGGAAATATGGGGTTTGGAGTTTTCAGTTTGTAGCTTTTGCAACTCTTCTTTGGAACTGGTGGAGAAATGAACATTTATCAACCTTGATTATTCTCTGAAGAACCTGTTAGTTGATTTATGTTTAAGCCTTACCGCCCTTCTGAAACTGGCAAAAGTCCTGTCAATAGGAAAACTGCTCTTTTTGTCATGATAGATTAAGCTTTATTCATCTTGGGATCTTGGGGGTAATGTTTTTGCATTAGGGTCAATGCGTGTCTTTCTACAATCGGGTTTGAGAGTAATGTTTTCGGGTCAATGTTAATCTTTCTAAAATTGTGTTTGGTTAATAATAAATTCAAGGTGTGTGATGATCACTCAATACAAAATTTGTATATACCAAGACTCAATATGAAATGAATCAAACGCAGGCTATTTGATTCTGTTTATCTGGTCATTTTGTTACTTCTGCTGTAGTCATCTTCACTGAGGCTCAACCAGAAGAGGAAGACTCCGGCTTTTTCGATAACCACTAGGAGAAAGGGCCATTTTTTACAGATTGCTAGATCAGTCTTAAACAACACGTGTTCAAGTATCAGCGACAATGGAACAACTGAACCCACAAGAGTTCTTCTTGAGAGATTGTTTGCAGAGACACAGAAACTGGAAAAACAAATTAACAAAGACACTGATTTTGCCGAGGGGGTTCAACCAGGAATTGACCTTGAAATTCTGGAATCTGATCTTCGTGCTGCATTGACAGCTTTGAAGAAAAGGGAAGACGACTTGCAGGATGCAGAAAGGAGATTCTTGTTGGAGCACAGTGAACTAAGTTGTGCAAAGGAGGGGTTAGAACAAAGAGAGAGAGAACTTGCTACTGCTCTTTCCAAGCATCAAAGACTAGAAGAGGAACTAAAGCAGGTAAATCTTGACTTAGTTTCTAAAACAAGGCACATTGAAGAGTTAAAACTTCAGCTTAAGGAGAGAGATGAGGAGGTTGCTGCTATGCAATCCACGCACGGTTCAAAAGAAGATGAGCTTGATAGGATGAAAAATGAACTGCAAAGAAAGAGTGAGGAAGCTGCTAGGACTTATACTGAGCTTGAATTTAAGGTTCGGCTTCTTAGTGAAGCTAATGAAGTCGTGAAGAAGCAAGAAGTTGAAATTCAAACACTTCAGAGAACCATCCAAGAAAAGGAAGAAGAGCTGGAAGTTTCTTTGACTCTGAGGAAACTTGGAGAGGAGAAGCTTATGGTTTCAGAGGCCAATTTGGAGAAACAAACAATGGAGTGGTTATTAGCTCGTGAAGAGCTAAAGAAATTGGCAGAAGAAGTGTCTGAGCACATGGGAGAAGCTAATGAAACTTTAGAAGATTTCAGAAGAGTGAAGAAACTTCTTACTGATGTGAGGTCTGAGCTGGTTTCTTCTCAGAAATCTTTGGCATTGTCTAGACAGCAAATGGAGGAGCATGAGCAGCTGCTGAAAAGGCAATTGGAAGAACTTGAAGAGCTGAAGATAAGTGTAATGTCATACATGACAAGTTTGAAAGATGCTCAAGTTGAAGTTGAGGGCAAGAGAGTTAAGCTCAGGGTTGCCGAGGCTCGCAACAAAGAACTTGAACAGGATTTATCCATGGAGAAAGAGCTTGTAGAAGAATTACAAAAGGAGCTGACGAACGAGAAATCTTGTCTGGAACAGGCAATTCAGGAGACATCTTCACTTAAAGAGAAACTAGAGCAGAAGAATAATGAACTTCAAGTTGCACATACTTTTCTTCAGGATAAGGAATCAGAATTGGTGGAGGCTAAACTAGAAATCCAGCATCTGAAATCCGAGCAAACTTCTCTTAAGTTAATGTTGGAAGAGAAAGATCTCGAACTCTCCTATGTAAGGAATAAGTTTGAAGAACTAAACCAGGAGGTTTTTGAGTTAAAGACGCTCATGAGCAGTAGAGGAGACCAACTTATTCAAGCAACCAATATGCTAAAAGAGAAAGAAGAACGAGTTGAGATAATGCAAGAAGAGTTAACTGATACAAAACTGAAAGTTACTGAAGCTGAAACCATAGTAGAACGAATTGCGGATCTCACGAGTGAACTGGTAATCTCCATTAGGGAGGAAGCTCACAATGTACCGCAACTAGATGACAAAATGGGCGTTGAATTGATGCCACAGTTGTTGGATAAACCTCGTGATGATTTCAAGTCTCAGAATAAAAAGCTTGATACTGAGCTCAGGTTAACCAGAGAAAACTTGAGAATCAAGGAAATGGAAATTCTTTCTGCCCATAGAGCTCTGGCAATCAAAGACGAGGAGCTCAAAACAGTGAAGGAGAGATTGGAAGGTAAAGAACAGGAGGTAAAGAGGTTGAAAGAAGGAATGCTGGAGGATGCAAGTGATTTAAAGAAGCTTTATGCATTGGCACAAGAGAGAATCGGGGAGAAAACAATCGGTGACCTCGCCATAGAGAAGCTTCAACTGGAGGCTGCTCAGCTGGAAGTTGAAGCTGCAACTAGTGCCCTCCAGAAACTTTCAGAAATGAGCCGGGAGCTTTTGATTAAGGCTAGCATGAGTATGGAGGTTGATAGATTGAGCATGTTTGATAACAATGATTGTTTCATTGAGGTCAAAACGGAAGTAGCTAGGCTTTCGTCCTTGACAGAGCGGCTGGTGAAAGATGCAGGACTTGTTACAAATGTGGAGTAGAAGAGGTAAAATTCTGAAGGCTGAAAACATGATGCTGGATATAGATAAGACTTGATTGTTTTTTTAACTGTAGGGATAAAATACCTAATTTACTTTATCATTCAATTATTATTTTTAATTAAATTGAACTTAGAATTTTTAAAAACTTAATTTAGGTTAATATTGTTTATTTCTATGCCACGTAATGCTGACGTGGCTAGAGATGGTATAATTTGCCCCGTGTTCCCATTATTCAGGGTTTTTTTTTTAAAACATAAAATACTACACACAACTATCTGAGATAAAAATTTACTAAACTAAAAACAGGTATATACCAAATCTTTGCCGTGTAATAAATTTATTAATGATATTTAAGGAACAATGATCAAATTGCATATTTGGTTATAAGTTAAATATATCAGCTAATATCTAATATAACATTTGAAATATATATGTAGACTAATTCATATCAGTCCAATCATACCAATCTGCAAGTAAAACTCTAAACCAACTCGAGCAAGTTTTATTAAGATTAAAGAAAAAAACACTCAATTTCCTATTTCTCTATTTTCCTAAACCTGAAGCTGCTTTCTCTTCCCTGTTTGTGGCTATCATAATCACAAGTCCCTTGTCTATAGGCGATGGTTTCTTCTACCTAGTTGTCTCTCACTAGTTCCGGTTCAATAACAGCTGGGCTCGCACCACTAGAGTCCGACGAAAACCTCTTGTTTAGAACAGGAGTCATCAGGCATAGTCCACATGGTGGGTTGAGTCGCTGGACTGTAGGGCGCCTTCACTGAAGCCAAAGAATCAAGTGTTTTAAGGATGTTGGCAAATCCATAAACTTGTGCAGCCACAACGCCTCCCTCGTCGTCCTCGATGCCTTCCTTCTCTTGTTTGGATGGTATGGGTTCAATCCTGGGTTATTCCTTTAAAATCCTGACCGCATACAATTTCGAGAACTTTTATGGCAAGTGGAGCACTGTAGAACAAACCGCCGTCATCACAACACTTGTCTTTTGGCACAGTTGCACTCACGACCCTTTTCGTGAAAAGAATACTCTCTGGCCACCAGAACATGACCAATGTCTACAACGGTTTACTTGATGGGTTAGCTGCAAATGCTTCTGGCTGCTTAGTCATGGAGCCTTGGGCTGTTACATTTTCAGGTTCGTAGCCATGTTGGTGTTGATCAGGTGCAACATGTTGGCAGAGAAGGTGAAACAAGTCTCTCTACTTTTGAGTTGACTCAGGGGAGGGTGGGAGGAGGATGAAGAAATGATGAATGGTCTGAGGACTTTTTTTATGGGTTTGGGGAGATTAGGGTCTTGGAACTTCTAAGAGGAAGAGATTAAATCAAAAAATTTTAAAACTATAGGGACTAATTTGACAAAAAATGTAAGACAATAATTAATTAAATAAAAATAAATAATATATGAACAAATCATTATTTTAACCCTTTTTGAAACATGCATGGCTGAAACAAGTAACCATCATCTGTTGACCAATTGTTCCAGCATCCTAATGAAACTTAAAATTAGAAAAGCAGCAAGATGTATTAAACCAGCAAATAGATTAGGCAAAAGTAAATAAATGTGGTTTTGATTCTAGCACGTCAACTGGCCCCAGGAAGATAAACAAGGGAATCAAACTTTAAACTTAAAACTACCGACCAGAAGAGCTGCTGACTCCATCTCGGAAAAGATTTGCTACTGTTGGATGAAACCATCCTGAGTTGCCAGCAGTTTGGACATCTACATGTTGTCCTTCACTTTGTACTGTACTACTGCTCTGCAACTTCTTCGGCCTTGACCTCCTTATTTTCTTCCCGGCAAAAAGTCCCAACTTCATGGCCGTGAATAGACCCAGTGCGATTAAAAGAGGCCTTACAGTCCAGTGGAAATCCTCGAGATGTTGATACTTCATCACAATCCCTCTACAGCTATTAAAAGTAACCACTTCCACCTCAGCTGGATCTGCCAGAAAACTGCTGGATTCCTTCCCCAAAGTCAATCTGCCGGGAAACTTGATAACAAGGCATCCGTTTGGTAGGATTTGGGATATTCTCCCAGTAGCCCAAGCGCCACCAGTTTTATGAGGCCATTGAAATTGAGGGATGAGGACATTAGCTCTCAGCTTCACAAATTGACCTACACAGTATGATTCGGCCATCTGAAACTGTGATGAATTTCCTTTCCATAAAGTCTCCACACCGACGAATCCAACAGCAACACTTCCATCACGATTTATGGAGTGGAGAATACCCACCGGTGAGTGCTTCTTGTCTTCCTCCTTCAAGCGTATCCAATCTCCTGCTGCCAAGCCGTTTGTAACCCGCTCGAGTGTTGACACATGAACTCGTAATGGATCATGTATGCCATGGACCCTCACCAGGACAAAACCATCTCTTTCTAAACCAACCACTTTTCCCTCTGGGACATCCATGTTTTCATGGTTACAAGAATTAGCAGGTTTTCGGGAACGCACTGTGTCACCCACCTGCAGATGATCCTTTGAGAGAAACCATTCCGTATACCCAGTACTAATAGAGTTCTCTTTGACTATTCTGCTCCCAAGGTCTCTCCAGCCACCATCATCATGAACATTATTCTGCAAACTGCAAGTTCAGTGCAGTTATTCAAAACAGTTTACAAATATTAAAAGCATTGAGAAAGTATGCACAAAAACAACTTTGGGTTATTTGTAGTCTCCTAGTGCAGCTTATGAAGAACCATATACAAACACTACTAAAACTAAAGCTGTGTTTGGAAGAAATAAATTCCACAAAAAGGTGCTTTTTTTTCATTTTAAACATAAAAATATGGGTCGCAAATGAATTATACTTTTTTTAAACGAGATTCATATGTTCCAAACATAATATAACCATAATCCTTTATTTATTCCAATTGGAAATGAAGACATAAAAATATGGGTCGCAAATGAATTATACTTTTTTTAAACGAGATTCATATGTTCCAAACATAATATAACCATAATCCTTTATTTATTCCAATTGGAAATGAAGACTCTACCCCAATGCTTCCTTCCTCAAATCAAAACAATTAAAGCCCAACAAAACGGACTTCTCGAAAATGCAGTTTATCAGTTCAGTTAATTAGATTTTCCTTCCATGAAAAATAAGGAACCAAATGATTATATCCCACTTTGAATCATAATCAAAACCTTTTCAGTTATTGGACCAAATAATTGGCCATTAACTGAAAAATCAATTAATATATTGAAAGCTTCCGAATAGGAAAAAAATTAAATACCTCGTCAGTGCACGTAATATGTCTGTCATTAAGGGGCGACTCCTGATATCATACTCAAAGCAACCAAGAAGAATATTCTGAATTGAAGAAGGAAGGCCACTGGGAATATGTGGCTTTTCTTGCTTTCTAACAACAAGGTCATGTATCTCGCTCATCGATCTCCCATACCATGGTTGAATACCACTCAACATCTCTACGATAGTACACCCAAATCCCCAGGAATCGGTCTCGAAAGATATTGGGCCTCTTATTTCTGGCTGCCATTGTTCCGGAGCCATGTAGTTTGGATTTCCAAGTCTACGAGTCATATCTGAGCTTGGCAAAGGAATCCCGAGGAGAAGGTAAGGAATTCCGACATCCCCAAGAATAGCTTTATCAGTTTCACTAAGAAGAATGTTATGAGGCTTAAGGTTGAGAACTAGGATTTCTTTTGAGTGCAATTCCAGAATTCCTTGTGCAAGATCAATCCCATACCTGCAGATATTCACAGAAACTGATGATTTGCACCCATGAATCTAGAGGAAAAAAATGGTTAAGAGTTTTCAACTTAATTCACAGGAAAATTACCTCAAGACATCAGGCAATGAGAGTTTTCCCTCTTTCAGACGGGCCATTTTATCACCAACCGATCCCTCATAGAATTTCATAATGATGCATATCTACAGCACATAATGTAAGGTATTCCTTTGTGAGTAGAGAGCTAATAGTTATAGAAAAAAAGTTCTGAAGAGTCAACTAACAGTAACAAAATAGTCACCTTTCCACTGATAACAGAAATTCCCTGCAGCAAACAAACATTTTCTACCCCTTGACATTTAGAAAACAAATTATCAAACTTGTCTAACAAAAATCTCATTTGATCCTCCTTAATTGGGTACAACATCTTAACAGCAACTTCATGATACTTATCATAATCTTCAGTCGATTGATGATGAGTTGCCAACCAAACATCACCAAAGGCCCCCCTCCCAATTCTGTGTCTAAGCTTCAATGTTGCAGGATCAACCCATGAACTTGTCTGGTTTGACGTAGCTACGACAGTTATAAGATTATCAGGATCTCCTTCAAAAAGCTCATATTCAAAAGAAGCACCAGCCTTGGCAATAGCAACTTTTCCAGCCATTAATTTCTTCCTAGGATCCAAGAAAAAAAGATCAGGCATTGACAAAAAAAGTATAACGATAACTAGCTCCTGTTCATCTGATAACTAAAATCCTCATACAGACTATAACTTTTCAGAAACTAGGTTCCATTTTTTAACAAATAGAGCAACATAATCAATGAGATAAACGTTTGATTCTAAAGTGCAGATACGGCATGTGAAATTTGGCATGACTCGTAGCAATTAAGCAACAAGAGCTCGAGAATTTATGAAAGCACCCTAACAGAATGTAAGAAGAGTAAAAGAAAACGTTTTGTTTGGCTACGCAGAAAGTAAAGGAAAAGCAGTTAGAGACGCACAAACACACACACACAAGATTCCCTTTTTTCTTCCATTTCCAGGAAGACGATATTTCCAAGAGTCATTATGGCGAGTCAAACCTTGTATTTCCATGGATAACCAGAAAAACATGAACATTAATTTAAAATTTTTTCTTCCGTTCTGAAAATGAAAAAGAAAATCACAAAGCAGACTATAAAAAGGAAGAAGAAAAGTAAGACTTACGGGGACTGAGAGCAAATTACTGATGACTTGAGGGAGAGAGATTTTCGTACGGGAAAGAAGCACCGAGGTTTCGACAAATTAGAAGGTGAGAATTGAGTATTAACTTGAATATAAGCAAGAGTATGGAGAAAATCTTGACGCTCATGAGAAAGCAACTGCCTAGAGACGAAAGAAATTATTGATCGAATGAAACAAATAATTGAGAATGTTAGGAATTTAAACAAGCAACCATGAGAGGGAGAAAGAACCTGAAGAAAAATTGCAGAAGAGACGAGTTCGTGGAATCAGAAAGAGAGCCAAGAGCCGGTATCTGAGGAAGGTGGGCCCAGCTTTCTCATCTTTGATTTGAGATTAATCATCATCAAGGCTGATGGTCTTGAGTATTACCGTATAATAATCCGACTGGCATAAAACATTTTTTTAAAAACAATTTATTATTATTATTATTATTATTATTATTATCATCATCGTCGTCGTCATAAAAACATATGCTATAATTGATCGCAGCAAAAAGACAACAAAGGTCATAAAATTAAAAAAAAAAAAGAACTAAAATGTGAATTGTCAAATTTGATAAGTAAAATAAAATTTTAAATATAGACAAAATTAAAATAAAATTATCTTTTTATTTTAAATATTTATACGTTAATTATTATCATCACCATAAATTAAAGATAAAAACATATGCTATAATTGATGGGAGCAAAAAGACAAAAAATGTCATAAAATAAAAAATAAATAAGAATTAAAATGTATATAGTTATATTTGATAACAAAAATAAAATTTTAAAAATAAACAAAATTAAAATAAAATTATCATTTGAGTAAGTAATTTATTAATTAACTGACGAGAAATTTAATGATTTTGTAATAATTTCATGTGAATGTTATACTACTTGATTGCCAAATAGCCATACATAATCAAAATTTTAAATATAAATTTAACAGAAATATTTTTGCTATAAAAATAAACCTCAAAAAGATTTTTTAAATTACTCTGTTTAAATTTTAATGTGATTTTTATTACAAAAAAAAATTTGTTATGATATACTTAAATTACATCATTAGCATATATATATATATATAACTATAATATATTTTAATCCAAGACTAGTTTGCCATATAAAAGCTATCCTTGAAGTAAATTCCTTTAAATTGAGAAAATTTTGAGAGACTACCTCCCACCGAACGGAACGGGCAAAAACAAAAAGATTTGGTGATGTACGAAACCAGCCACCAAGAATATGTATATATGTATGTATGTACATGTTGTTTGACGTTGTATTACCCATGTAATGGCAGCAAGTCATCTAAAACCTGTTTGCCTAGTCGGAAAATGAATTGTACAAATTTCCTACCCAAAAGTTTTATGGAAGTATTCATTAAAAAGGACTTAACGAATCAAACCCACCAAGTAAAAACAGTGTAGCATAATATTATTACTCTTCGTACTCTCTCAGAGATTCCAAAATTCATCATATAAGTACCCAGAAAATGGGGAAGAAAAAAAAAAGAATTACACAATTGAAGCTATTAACAATATTGAAGAAGACGAAGAAGAAGAGAGAGGGGTTTCAAATAATCCCCTGTTACAAAAGCAATCTGTCTGCAATTACATTTATCTGGTAAGTACATTAACCATTTTTAACTACAAGCCAGGTAAAACCCAGACGGAAATTGTAGAAGAAAAACAGACGAAAATGGTTGAAAAAACGATGTCGTTTTCTTTAAAGAGGAAGCACCTTCTTGACAATATCCTGACTGAGAGCCGCAATCTGGGTGTCAAGTGACTTAATAGTTTCCTCCTTCTGCTTCTCCAAATTAGCCAAAGCCTCCTGTAGCTCCGCCTCCACTTTCTTCCTCCCTTCCCCCAGCTTCTGCTCCACCTCCAGCTGCGTCTCCTTCTTCATCTTATTCAGCGCAGCGGATATCTCCGCTCTAGCCGCCCTCATAATCGCCGCAGCTTGCTCTTCCAGCTGCTTCACCTCTCCCGACGTGTCCTTCACGCTCGCCAGCTTCTCTTTGATCGCGGCGTCCCGCTCGTCCATGAATTTCCCGAGTGGGGTAAAGTAGATCTTGTCGAGAGCGAACATGAGGAGCAGGAATTCCACCATTATGATAGGGAGGGTGAGGTTGAAATCGAAGAGAGCGGCCTTCTCGATTTCTTCGGCGAGGGATGGAGGGGCGAAGGAGAGGGAGGTGGCGGCGAGGAGGGAGAAGGATTTGAGAGCGGAGGAGGGGGAGAGGGAGAGGATGTGTTGGAGTTTGGGGAGTTTAGGGATTCTGGGGAGGGAGATTTGGGAGATTTGGGGAGTGGGTTTGGGGAAGGGGAGGGAGGAGGTGGGTGAGATGAGAGGTTTTGAGGAGGCCATGATCATGTTGGCCATGGTGGAGTGTGGTGGTTGGTTGCAGAAGAAGAAGAAGAAGAAGAAGAAGATGGGTTTGATGGTGGTGCTTCTGGTTTGGTTCGTGTATCGTGGGTGTGTAGAGGGAGGAGATATTGCGAAATGCTATCTCGTTATTCGCCACACAAAATTGGTGAGGCTGTAGTTTGATGCATCAAAAGCGAACTGTTGAAACTCTAGTCGTTTACTTTTGTTTTTTCATTATTAAGAAGAATTCTTAACCAGGTCAAGGCCCAGGCCCAGACCCAAAAAAAAAAAGAAAAGTGTTTCGTTTTAAATTTCAGATTCAATTCAAAAGATATGTTCAGAACCCATTTATCTGTTTTGAAACATACACTGAACAAATTTATCCTTTTTCTTCTTTGAATTCCCTTTGCTTCTTATTTTCATGTGCTTAAACAAAAGTTGAGTACTTCTCTTTTCAACTGCTTCCTTGCCTATGCAAATTATTGCCATCCTCAGCCATTTAGGACCCAAGGACAAAGACAAGAAGTAACTTACCAAATACTACTGCAAGTCTATCTAGGAGAGCGTTGCTGTGAACTAATTCTGAATAGGAAAATCAAAATTTTAACATGAAGACACTTTTCCGTCAGCATGTTGAAATCTGGAGCTATATCAGCTCCTTCATGCCAGCACTGTCAATGCTGACAGATAAAAGCAGGTGGTGTTCATGGCGCATTTCAGACAAATAATTTTTCAACATTTTTCCCATCTCCACCTATCCCTTCGATAAGAGTTTCTTCTACCACATAGCCGTATAATTTCTCTGAAACTGTTAAAAAAACTGCAGCCATAGGCTGAGGCACAAGCTAAATCTCTCCGCTTTGTCTTCCTTGAAATTGGCAGCCTTGTGTATGGTAACCAACCTCTCAACATGCCAGGACAATTATGTATATCCTTATTGATAATCTCCTTACTCTTATCTTCATAATACTCGTAATCCCCAGTCTCTATATTCCCAAAATCATCATCATCTTTGTTGTTCCATTCATTCTCTTCACAGATTGTTGATTCTGATAGTGTCCTACAACAGTTGAAATAAGTAACCCAATTTGCAGAACTCACTAAATATGTGAAGTACATGTTTATTGTTCATTTGGCCATTTCCGAACAACCACCTCTGTAATAGAGTTTGTTGATCCTAAATCTTTAGATTTATGATGAGTGAATAGTCATTTTGAACATGGGTGCTACAGTCATAATTTCATAGTTGTGGAACACGATTCAATCAGGGTATTTCCGTTGCAAAAGATTTATCTATCATCTTACTAGGATGTGAGAAAATCTAATGCATGGAAAAGAATATGGAAATCCTTACCATTTCTCCTGTTTTGGTGTAGTATCTTTCTTCTTTCGCCGGCTCTTCATCACTATGTAGGTATTTGATATATGTCGAATAAAATAAAGCTGAACAACAAAGCAATAACTGTGAATCACTAGAACAAAGATATAATATAACTGCAAACTCTAAAGAAAACAAAAATCATTAACAAACGAAATTGCAATAAATAACTTAATAACGTGATAACCATGATATGAGAAAAAGAACTCAGAGAATCAACTGTTTTTAAAGTCCACGTATTAATTTCAAAAATCATTGCCACAACAAACTGAGTCCAGCCAAGATTCAGCATAACTAAAATTAGAAACAAGATAAACATGCAGCTTTTTGTTAATTCCAATCGGCTGCAAATTTAAATCCTAATCAAATATTTTTCTGGGTCTTAAAAGGGCGTGGGAACATCAGATATATGTGATCCTAAGCATGTACTAATGGGAAATTTGAAATAATCATATTTTGAAACCCACCAGAACTTATGACTACCATGTAGTAACTGTCCATGTCCAATGTCTAGTATTTGGACAATTTTCTTGCCTAGCCACACCCTCATATATAAAGATCTGATGAGCACCTAGCATTGCTTGAGTTAATCAATTAAAATCGCATTGTATTATGAGGTTATATGATTTTAGGTCAAAGATATTCGGTATCATAACAGGGATTACTACCTTTCACATTATAATTATGCTTAGAACTAAAAGGGACCTGTCAAACCTGATCACCATCCTTGATGCCATAGTTGCTGATGTTATCAGTTTCTGCAACTAGCTTCTGACCTTCATAGCACAAGCAAAAGTGCCCCCATACATGCGGCCTTCGTTAATCATATATCCATTTCAGTCAAAGTAAATAAACGTTAGTACCCAAAACCAATGGAGAACGATTTGTAATTAGGAAAAAGGAAATACCTACCACGAAATCATCCCTGGTCCCTTCTTCGGCATCTGACAAAACACAGCTTCTACTGCCAACTTGAGTTCCCCAATGGTAGCTGTTGCCATAACTTCAATATCTATAAAACCAAACGACTCAATTAAGCTCCATAATTCGAACAATTAACTAAAAAGCGAAACATCTAATTTCACTTTTTCTCCCTGCCCTAACAACAAGTTTCTCGGTAACCAAACGGAGAAAGAAAAACAGAAAACACAAACCGCACAAAAGAAAACACGGGGAGAGAGAGAGAGAGAGAGAGAGAGAGAGAGAGAGAGAGAGAGAGAGAGAGAAGAGGGAGGATTACCAAAAGAAGAGCCATCCAACTTTAGAACAGAGAGCTTGAGAGGCTCCACAGGCAGTTTACAATACGAAAAGCTCTTGCGAGAGAGTCCATCAATTATCTTCAGAGGAGATAACGGCAATGCCAAAGACCTGCGTGGCCTGTCGACGGAAACCCTCGGGGAAAACTCCTCGACATCGATTCTCAGCATGCTTAGGGGAAGAAATTCAATGGAAAATGAAGATGATCTTAAGATCGGGAGAGCATTCGCGTGAGGGTCTTTACCAATCATGCGATAGCTGAGATCTGTAAAACGGGGTTTATTAGGGAGGAGATTCTTTGGAGAGAGTTAGGGTCAGGATTTTCTCTTTTTCAGGAGCTTGTGTCGGTGGAGATTCTCTTCGGAGCAGAGAAACAGAGGAGACAGAGAGATGCTCTCTCTCATTCCTTTTCTCTCTTCTTGGCAGAGTGGGAAGGAGACACCAATTGAGTCATGACAGTTGGGATTCGAACTTCCAGGACATGGAAGACTTGGACGGTTTCACGCGCGTTTTATTGGTCGTTTGGCGGTTGAGAAATTCATGGAGTTTTATTATTATTATTTTATTTAAAAAAATTAAAGAAAATCTCACTGTTATTTTTATTATTATTATTATTATTTTTTTTTGTAAATACCCATAAATGCATTATTTAATTAAAAAAAAAGTAGAGTAATGTAAGGAGGAAAATCCTCCCATATATGAAATTTCACATGGATACAAGCGTGATGCTTTTGCTATTTCTTGGGCTTACCCGATTACATGATCTCCTAACCCATATAGTACGCACGACAATCATCCACAATACAGCAAAAAAAACATAGTAGTCAGTTTCAGCTGAAGTCAGAGCTCTCTGAACCATTTGAGAATCAACCTCCATAATCCCTGACCCTTGAACAGAAGATGCTAAGTGTCATAAGGACTGACGGCATCCTAATAGTACCTCGAAACGCATCTGGCAACCCACCATACTTTGTCCAGAGAATGCAGCTACCACTGTACCGTTACAATCTCGAAGAACAGCTCCGAATCCCGCTATAGCATCACCTGGCCACTCCTTACTATCAATACTGCACTTCCATTGCGTTTCTACCGGCGCCTGCCAACACAATATGTGTTTCTGTAAACTGGTTAGCCTGCCCATATCCTTTCTCCCGAATAGCCTGGGCTTGTCTCCACTCCATTAGGATTTTGCGTGATAAATACACAGTCGTCTGATCCGCAAACTGTTTTTCATTCCAGGTGCAAGCATTTCTTTCATACCGAAGTCTCCATAAGCAACAAAATAACTCATCAACCATTTGAGGCGTATGGGAATCGACCATTTGTTCACCCCAAACGAGAATATCAGTAACTCTCAATAGAGAACTCTGGATATTCATCAATCTCCAGCAACCTCGTGCTTTAGCACACTCCAGAAACACATGCATAATGGTTTCTGTTTCCCCACATCGAGGGCATTCTGTACTGTTAGGCAGCCCTTTCTAATGTAATCTCTCTTTTACAGGGAGGATGTTACGCATAAGTCTCCACATAAAGTTTTTTATTTTCGGAGGGACATTGACTTTCCATACACACTTCCATAAACTAGTCGTGCTCCCAACAGATGGCCTTCTCCATTCCAATTGGCTATAATAAGCCGATTTGACACTATATTTTCCAGTCCGTGAGGGTGCCCATATACACCTGTCTTGCCTATGCCACACACTTGGAGGAATACTCAAACCAAGCTCCGCCTCCTCCTCAATGAGTAAACCCTTCATCATATCAACATTCCAACTCAAGCGATATTCATTCATGAGATCCGAGAATTGCATATATTCAAATCTAGGAACACAGGGGCTTTGAACATAACAATCATTCTCCCTCGGTAACCATGGATCTTGCCACACCTGCACTCGGTCTCCATTGCCAATAACCCATCACATTACTTTACAGACCATTTCTCTTGCAGATAACAAACTCCTCCATGTGAAGCTTGGATTTGATCCCAATGGCGCACTAGTAATATCACCATGTGGAAAGTACTTGGCTTTCAGCACTCTCGCCACCAAAGAATGGGGATCACTATGCATACGCCAGAGCTGTTTACCCAACAGAGCGGTGTTGAAAGCTTGAAGTTTGCGGAAACCTAATCCTCCCTCCATCTTACTTCGACACATTGAAGACCAAGATAACCAATGCATATTTTTCCGCCCGTCTCTCTTCGATCTCCACCAGAAGCTATTCATCATTTTCTCAAGTTCATCACATAAACCACTCGGAAGACGGAAAACCCCCATACAAAATACAGGAAGAGCTTGCATCACTTACTTCAATAACACCTCTTTTCCCGCTCAGGACAAAAATTTATGTGTCCAACCCTTCATCATCTTCACAAACATGTATTTGATAAATGCAAATGCACTTTTCTTACTTCTACCCACCAATGATGGGAGTCCCAAATATGAACCATGATTGATTGAGTTGTGTACTTCCAAAATATTATTTAGATGAGAACAAAGTTCCAGTGGCGTATTAGAACTATAAAAGCCCCCAAAATTTTGGAAATTTATTACCTGACCAGATGCCTCCTCATATTGGTTCAATATAGTTTTCACTCTTCGACTCTCATCTTCATCAGCATTAAAGAAAAAGAAAGAGTGATCTACAAATAGCAAATGAGATATACTAGGACTCCGACGACAAAGTTTTGCCCCATGTATCCAGCCCCTTTTTTCAGCATGCATGGTCATGGCAGAAAGGCCCTCTGCACATAACATAAAATAAAGAGATAAGGTGACAGAGGATCCCCTTGCCGTAGCCCTCTGCATGGGACAATCGATCTAATATCTTGCCCATTTATACGGATTCTATAATTCACAATAAACACACAGTTGATCATCAGTTGCACCCAACAGTTATGAAAATCGAGCTTCAGCAACACAGATTCTAAATATTCCCACCTAACCCTATCATAGACTTTACTTATATCAACCTTTAATGCCACATCAGACCTCCTTTTCTTACTCCCCAACTTCATTTGATGGATAATTTCAAACGCAAGGAGGATACTATCAGTCATATTTCTACCTGGAACAAATGCTGATTGGTATTCCGATATTATATCTGGTAAACAACTACGCATGCGATTTGCTAGCACCTTTGAAAATATTTTATACACCACATTGCATAGTAAGATGGGACGCAGATCCTTAACACTTATCGGACTATCTATCTTTGGAAGAAGAACAATTACTGTATCATTCAATTGAGTCGGGAAGAACCCCTGTGTAAACCATTTCTTACAGTTCTCTATAATATATGGTCCAACAATTGCCCAGAAATTCTGAAAGAAAGCTGGATTTATGTCGTCTGGTCCTGGGGCTTTGTTCGGGTGCATTTGGAATGTTCTCTTTTATTTCAGCCTCTGTTAGTGGTTAGAGCAAAAAAATCATTAACTTTCTCCGGGACTTTATGTTCAACCTTCTCTACAACCGCTTCACAATTGCCTCCAGACGCAGAGAAGAGATCAGTAAAATATGCTAAAATATGGTTCTGTATTGCATCAAGATCCCGAATCCAATTCCCATTACTATCCTACAGAATAGAGATCCTATTTCGCTGCTTCCTTTGAGTTGCCTGCCTGTGGAAATGTTTAGAATTCTTGTCTTCGTATGATAACCAAAATTTCTTTGCTCTTTGGCGCTAGCAAGCTTCCTCTTATTCCATTACTCTGATATATTATTCATTTAAGGATGGAAGTGAATTTGCCTATGTTTGTCCCCCACTCTTCCTTACATGTCGTATCTTTGCATACAAGGACCGTTTACGGTCTCTAAAATCATGCATCTTGGTGTCACCCCAATACTGTAAGTGAGTTCCACAGCTAGCAATCTTGGTAGCAAGACTTGCCGAACTAACGGATTGTCACCCTCGACGTACCTCGGTTTCTAACTCCGGGTTGAGAAGTCAAACATTCTCAATTTTGATTGTCTTGTGGATACACTCACTACGCTTCGAATCACAACACAACATGATAGGGGAATGATCTGACACTGGTGCTACCATATTCTCCAGTCTTGCAAAAGGAAAAAAAGCTAACCACTGATCATTAACAACACGTCTGTCCAAGCGTTCTCTGATCACCATATCCCCCAACCCTCTTGACCATGTATATGTATACCGAACTAAAGGCAAGTCGCCCAATTGACAACTATCAAATGTGTCCTAAAAACTCATCATACTATATTGGGATGGCTTCGCTCAACCATCCTTTTCATCTGCTGAAATGATACTATTAAAATCACCAATAACAACTCATGGTTCACTTCGTGCCTCCGCCTAAGCGCGTAATACCTGCCAAGTTTCGGACCGCTGATGTCGCCGTGAATGACCGTAGAAACCAGTGAGTATCCATAAACTACCATCCACCTGCTCAATTCACATATCTATATGGTGCAAGGAATAAGATATGATTGATATGTTCTAATTGTCTGACCAAAATACCACAAGCCCACCACTTTTCCCTAATCTATCTCTACTCCAGAAACTTTCTGGTAACCCAGTCTAACTTTAATCGTGTCCAGCTTTTCTCTTATCACCAATGTTTTAGAGAAACACGATGTCTGGCTTGTTTTTTCAGACTAGCTCCTGTAGAGCTAGTACTGCACGAGGGTTGCCAGGCCCTCAGCAATTCCAACTAATGACCATCATGGCGCCCGACTCCTCTCTTATCAACCGTATAGTAGAGTCAGAAACCAGAGGTCACTTTTGGCGTGGCCGTTTCTTACCCTCATCTTGGGCTAAACCAATTTCCTCCATAACCCACTTCGCCCTGTAAACCCATTTCACGGCCCAAAAAGTCATCTTGGGTCATAGGCTCTGCCCCCGCCCATCCCTTCCCGCCTAATTTTGAATTCAACATATCAATGTTCTTTGGGGATAATAACTGTGGAGAAACCGCCAATGACATCGCCTGAATATCCCCGGACATCCCAAAACGTACCGTTAAATCAGGAAGAACACCACCGTTACTATCCCGTAACCAGCGACTAACCTGTGGCGGATTTCGACATGGATTGGTCCTCAGCGAGTCATCCCATTCTTGCTTCAACATTGCTAAATGGGGATGAATAAATAGTTTACAGAAGGATTCTGAATGACCCAACTGGCCACACAAGTAACAATAAATACGGAGTCGTTCATATTTGAAGAAGGCATATGTTGTTGAGTCGTCTTTCTTAAGGAGTTTCTTCCTTCTAAATAGTGGCTGACAGACATCCAACACAACCCTGATACGCATGTAACCGCCCGTGTGCATGTGAGGGTGAGTCATGTCATAATCATTGAACGTACCCAAAAAATTACCAAATTGCTTCGCCAATGATTCGGACAAGCACCCAGTCGGTAGTTGGTGAATCTGCACCCAAAATAGGCACTTATTGATTGCAACTATTATCGGATCCTCCCCGTGTTGTAACCGGTGCCAGACCAAAAGATGGTTGTTAAACGTCCAAGGACTTCTTGTCACAACCCTTTGTATATCAACTTCATAAAAGAAGCGGAACAAATAACGACTAACCCCCAGAAGCATGATACTAGCCCCAGCCAGCGGACGCCAGATGTCGGCGAAAGTGTTTTTTTATGGGTTCAAACTTTACAACCGCATATGTTAGGAGACGACCTACTAGACACATCTCGTATGATACAGCGGGGGAACGGTGTTATTTTGGCTAAATCCCAACCACCCTCATCCTCATCCACAATGGTTAACGCAGCCATGTCTTCGACTGCATCCAAGATAAAACAACACAATTCGTAGTACCACACAGAAAACGAAAAACTTGCCAAGAACGGCCCACTGTTACTAGAGAATAAAAGTAAAAATTCTATTTATTTTCAACCACAACCGACCAATAAATTTTTGTTTAAAAGATAAACATGCATATATTATATATAAGAAAATACTTGTAAAACAAAAAATAATAATTGTTTATATAATAAAGGTAATATCAGTAGTTATTTAAAAAATAAATTCTAATGTTTATATTTAATTCGTTTTATATTTTGTATTTTATTCTTTTTTTATTTTTATATTTTAGATGCAATTTTTATTATGTGTTATATTTATTTGATTTTTATTTTATTACTAAATTCTAATCAATTTTTATGTATAATATTAGGTTATAGTTTACATATTTTATTAATAAATCAACCAATTAATCTACATTTTTCATTTTTCAATAATAAATTTATATTAGCATCACACACTCAAAATTAAAATAATATTTTCTTATTTATATTATATTTTTATTCTATATTTAACTCTATGCTATATAGGACGAGGATACAGAAAATCTTTTACTCTACTTAATTGCAATTTTACAATTCAATAAAAGTACAGAAAAACAAAAATAACAGAGATCAATAGCAAATTCTTCTCCAATTAAGTGCAAACATATTAGCATCTGTTTGCTGCAATTTATGGATCTCCAACATAGTTAGAGTCCCTATTGAATTTTCGACTAGTGGCTTCTTTTTCCGACATTTACCATACTCCGGTCAAGAAAACCAAATCAAATCGAAGAAGAAAGTAAAGATTCAAGTTTTATACAATTAGTTGGTGAGCTTGCGCAGTTAGTAACCCATGACCTTACAATAGGCGTATACACCAGAGCCAAGAAAACCGATCAGTTGTCCAATAACATTCAGCTGCAAGCCAATCAAATCATATACCCATGAACATGAGACGGCGAAAGGTTTGAATGAGGAGAAAATATATGATGCTTCAGATGCAGAATGCTTCTATATTGACTTTTTAATATTTCATAGTAATTCAGTAAAATTTTGTAGTAATCATTTATCATATAACCTAATTGCTACACAAAATTACTTAATTACTAAAAAATGATAGACCAAGATTACTTGAAAGCATAGTGCCTCCAGAACACCATAACAGAATCCCTCAACGAGAGTTGCAATAAAATAGATATCTTTACACTTACAACATCAAATGGAAGTCCACCAAAAAGGATCCAGCCGAATCCAATGGTAAATAGATCCTACAAGGGCATAAATTGTAAATGGGAAAATCAGGTAGAGAAGGGGATATGTCCAAAAATAACTAACTATTAGAAGCTTCTTTCTCAAAGTACTGTGAACTAGTTCAGAACTACAAATCTTGCAAATGGAAGGCTAGATATCTAGTTTATTCAAGTCAAGCAAAAATCATAAAGCAATCCATGGTTCTAGCACATGTTCATTCTACTGTTTCAAGGCATTTTTTAACTAGCTTGAATCAGATCCACCTGAACTATCTAAATAAAATCTTTTAGTATATGTTTAGAATAAAACTAAAAGATCTTGTGAAATTTATTTGCAAATTCACACTTTAACTATGAAGTGATATAAATAATATTAAAAGATGGTACTCTGAAATAGTTTTCATTCCAAATGAAATTTCACATGAGATCCCTTTTTCACATCTTTTTATTGACCTTAATACAATTTACAATTGGTAAAGAAATTCCACCAAATCTTTGGATTTGTTCAAAACATAACCTTAGTTTAGTCGGTAACAAGTGTGTATGGGTTTTATCGGATGTCTCCAAGGAGACATGGTAGATGCGAGAGGGAGGACTTTCCAGTTAGTCTTATTTGGATGAGCCAAGGCAACTCTAAGAGTACCCTTATTCTTGTGAGAGGCTGCTCGGGAATGCACCCTAACCTTGGACAAGTTGGTTAGGAGGGGCAATGTTCTTGTGAATAGATACTACTCATGCAAGAGGGATGCAGAATCATGTAATCATATTTTTTTGTGGTATCCATTTTTGTTTCAACTTTGGAATTTGGCGTATGGTTTGCTAGGCTTGAATTATCTTGTTGCTGGTTTGATTAAGGAGGAAATCGGGGCATGGAAGGGCATCCACGGGGAGAAGAGGTTGGGACTAATCCCTCTGGCTAGTTTTGGTCATTTGGAAGGAAAAGAACAGGAGGATTTTGTAAGATATAAAATATAATTTTGGTAAGTCAGGCTATTCCGGATCCTAAGCTTTTTTATTAATAGTCAACAGCTGTTTATTAGCGAGAATCTAGGGGACTCTGAGAGATATTTTGATAGAATTATAAATATTTTGTATACAGGTTGCACTCCGTTAATGCCTGAAAATATAATTTCTATTTTATTTTTTTTTCAAAAAAGTAAATGGGGTTTTTGCAGCAAAACAAAAAACCCATTGATTTAAGTCTACTAGGTCCTCCTACTGAAAGTTCACAGTTCAAATAGTCAAAATCTCTAAAATCTGGCATACCCCACGTCAGTAGTGTAATGGAGGAGATCTTATATATATTTGGAGCCAAATAATCCTTGTGGTACAACAACAAGCACTTCAGATAATAGCCTTAAATTGTCGCAGGAGTTGTTCGCTTGGAGGTTCTTGATGAAAAGCAAAACAAGGTTTTGTATTCTCACTCTCAAGCTGCAGTCCTTCCCTTCATCAATGCTCCCAAAGAAGGAAATAGTATAGTGATTCGCAGACATATAGCGATAAATTACTTCTACTTGTACAGAAGATATAACCAGGGAAGATGCAAATTGCACAGGAAGGTATCGTTAACACACTGCTTGTAAAGAAGAAATCATGAAGGAAGATACAAACCTTCAGGTTACCACAAATTGTTTGCGTGAGGGCTGAATTTAGAGTCGTGTTCAGGAAAACACTGTAGTTTAAGAAGAAAGCCAGTATACAGGAAAGAAGCAACACAATCTGTCCAACAAAGAAGCAGTGCATTGTACTGGTCAAACCTTATCAGTTACATGACACCTACAGAAAAGACAATCTTCACATGCAAAGTTCAAGAGACAGATTGACAGAGGATGCAATTAATCTCCAAAAAATGATGGAGAACACTTGAAATATTGTGAGAGTTTAGGATATTAATAACCTAAACATGTCAGCATGCAGTTAGCAAGCATGCAGTTAGGAAGCATGCAAAACAGAAGTTATCTGGGCAAGTAAAAAGTACCAAGAAACCAGGCGAGAGGATATGAGGGAAATATATTGTCTTGACAAAGTCACCATGCAACAATGTCCAGAGCAGCAAAATTGGTCCACATATAATGCCTATGACAGAAAAGAAATCATATAATTTATGTCACAGCTGGAAAAAATCATGTGGTAATATTTCAAAAAAAAAAAAATCATGTAGTAATTAATGCAAGACAAGGATGACAAAATCTCAGGAGCTTAATTCAAGTTACAAACAATCTTCTCAAAAAACTTATCAAGTTATGATCACTGAGGTTACCGTTGCACCACATAAGGCCAAAACTATTAAGGCCACTAGATTTCCCTGTGAAAAAAAAAAGTACATATATTTAAAATAGATGTGAAGTAATGAAGGTTTAATGCTATAAACAAATTTGGGGAAAGAAAGGAGAAGTGATACCAATTCGGGCAATGGCTGCAAGATATACTGCTGTGGCAACATTAGCTAGGAAAACAAAAGCATAGCCGTAGAAGTCAAATGAGAAATCCCGAGCTCCAGCAATAAATGCACCAAGAACGATCAAACCAACACTGATAACAGCCTTAAATTTTCAGTTAAATTGATGGCATCAGAAGCATGGAAAATCATAAAAGATTAACCAACCCTTTCCAGTAAAATTAACATCTTGTAACGTTTTATAAGGAATCAAGCACTCAAATTCATACAGTGGAAATTTATATTGCCAAAGATTGCAAAGTAGCAGTACCATAAAGAACTAATAGCTCTGCAGTAACAAGTACAAAAATTAGCGCCTTGTATTTCCTCTGGAAAATAGCGCAGCAAACCAATGCCTTACTATACCCATTCACCATCTTATCAGATAGAATGATCTACCAATATGCTTGCTGAAGCATGTTCTTTTGTTTATTTTCATTTCTCATAGAACATTTTTATCAACATTGAAGTAAAAAACATTTATTAACAACATACTGAACCAGATACTTGTCCCTAAGAAAAGCATAATTTGGGCTTAATCAGAACCATTTCCCCAAACCTGTCCATTGAGTATCTCCAAATTTCTTGTCAGCATTTCAACTACATTTTTACAGTCTGGAAAATTATAGTTGTTCCTTAGACATTATCCAATTGATAACACAACTAAATAACAGCACAGTGAATCATCATCTTGTAAAAATAAATAAAGAACACCAAAAATGTAACTTACCTTCCAACAATAGATGATGTATACCTCTGCCCTGTTAGCATATACTCCATAACCATTGTAAATGCTACCGTAGTCCGTCTAAGGGTGGTGTACATGGGAACATTTACCCCACGAACAGACTCCATAGAGGCTAGCTTTCAGGAGAAACAGAGAAATGATAAGTATTAGCCACAAAAAAAAATTGCAAAGAACCTATATGCCAAAAGCATATGCTCAAGATTATAGTTAAAGTAAATACCATGTATAGCAAGTAAGCTACTGCAAGAGGAAGGGTGTGAACTAATGTCTCTAATGGCACAAAGGCAGCAGTGTTATCAGAAGTAACCACTGATTCACTAGCTGTGAAAGATATAATCTTCCAGCGTCTCAATATGTAGAGAAAGGAGCATGAACAAATCATCTGCAGGGGGAGAAAATCAATATAATTTAGAACTTTGTGAGAAAGATCGCATCGCCTCTTAGCAAAATACTTCCCTATGCACTCAAATTGTGAGGCCAAACTTTACAAAATGAAGCAATGAAATGAAGATAAACCAGTATCATGGACAGAAATGCTAACTACAGAATAAATCCAAAGTTAATGCACGTGTATATCCAGTAAAGCTGAAAGGATCAAATAAGTAAAGCAAAATGACTTTTGATTACTTATAGTAGGTCTATTTCTTTGGACTTCTCTACAGCTGCTTCTGTTTAACTTTCAGCTCTAGCTCAGAAGAATACTGTTATTGCTCTTCTCAGTTCACGTCATAAAACATTTATTCATTTAAATAAATATGAACATTACTATTTTAGCAAGAATCACTCATAGCTCATGCTACAATAAAAGCACCAGTTTCAGCTCTAAATAAACCTGCATAAGTTTAACAGAAATAAATGATACTAGTTTAGGTACATTAGGAACTTGATTAGCAACTCGTATTCACAAGGCTGAGTTAGCTATTTTTCATCTGTGTCGAACTTATATAGCTTTTTAATGCTTACAGCTGAAACTGGTGGTTTTTTAGCTGCTAGTTTTTACTGTAACAAAGTTATTAGTTCTTTAAGTTAAAAATAAAATATGCAGAAGCACTATAGAAAAGCTTAGTTAGAGGATGGTAACAATGAAGAAGCTGCTACGAGCTTGAACCTATTCAATCAAAATTTGGCTTTGCAGTAGCGAATTCTTTTTCAAGAATGTAGAAGTGTGGGAATCCAAATTCACGATACAAGTCACTGGTGTATTTGATAAATAAATTTTAGTTAGCATACCAGTGAAGTACGTAACAGCTTCGGTAATCATTAGGAAGATGAGAAGAGGAAACAAAATCTTGCATACCATGTTAGTTATGCTTTTGAAATTTTCAAAAACAAAAAATCACCAATCCAAAGAGGATTAACAGCATAAAACTTAAGTACCCAGAGTATGTTCGGACAAATGAAGTGAAAGGAAATGAAAGAAAAGCAATAGTTA